ATGGTGGCTAACAACCGTCTGTAACTCCAGTTCCAGGGGAATCTGACACCCTTCTGACCTCTGACAGCACTGCATGTCACAGGTGCGCTTACATACATGCAGGCAATACACTCACACACATAAAATTAAAAATAACAAAATATTTTTTAAAATAGTTAACTTATTTTCTTGAGGTCAATGAATTTAAATTTAAATTGAGAGTGTGGAAATAATTTTGATTATGACTATTTTCTATGCTTTTTAAATTTTTAAAAAAATTTATTTTTACATATATGTATGCAAATGCAGCATGTGCATTCAGCGCTTGTGGAGGCCAGAAGATGGTGTCAGATTGTCTGGAACTGGAGCTACTGACTTTGTCAGCTGCCATGTGGGTGCTGGAAAGTAAACCTGGGTCCTCTGCAATGGCAGCCCATGCTGTTAACCACTGAGTCATCTTTCCATCCCCATTCTTGTATTAAGACGAAATACCATGACTTTTTAAAAGATGAAAGCTCTGTAGTGTGTTTTTCTGTTGTTTGTTTGTGAAAGGGTCTGTCTTGATAGTCAGGCTGGCCTAGAGCTCTCTATGTAGCCCAGGCTGGCCTAGACTAGAGCTTTCTGTGTAGCCCAGACTGGCCTAGAGCTCTCAATTAGTCCAGGCTGGCCTCAAATACAATGATCTCCAGCCACAGCATCCTAAGTCCCAAATGTGAGTCCCTACAACCGGCCACATTATAGATTTTTAGTTTCAGTGAACTTTCCATTTTATACAACTTAGAAAATGTAAGCATTTTCCTATCCTGCAGAGTCAGCAGGTGTCAGTGAGTATGGGTTACCCACAGGACAGAGTTGAGTTGATCTGGGGAATTAGAGAGGTATGGATAGCAGCACCAGTTCCTAACAATATACTTATGCACAAACGCATAAGTATAAGTATATAGAAAGATGAATTGTGCCTTGGACACACTTTGGCTTTTAAATACAGCAACTGTCAGCCATTTTGCCTCACTTGAAATTTGGAAAGCTTGGTCACTGTGTTTTCATCAATGAAAGAATTGTAGCTGCAAAGAAAAAGCGTTGAGAAGGTGAACCCTAGGGAATAAAGGGGGAAAGACTGGGGATGCCAGAGGAGCCCCATGATCATAGCTGAGCAAAGAGACAGCTGTTTACCATGGAGAAAACACACTGAAGTTGCCGATACTGGTTTAACTTCACGTCTGTTTACTTTTCAGGGGAGAGAGCAGTGTGAGTCATGGCATGAGTGTGGAGGTCAGAAGATAAATTGTGGGTGTTCAGTGTTTCCTTCTACCATGTGGGTTCGAGGGATCAAACTCAGGTGGTCAGGTTTGGTGACAAGCACCCTTAGCCACTGAGCCACCTCCCCAAACTTTTTTTGTTTTTTTTTGTTCTGTTGGTTTTTGGAGACAGGGCCTCACTACATAGTACTGGCTGGCCTAGGGCCCACAATGCACACACTGTAAACAGGGCTGGCCTCCAGCTCACAGAGATTTGCCTGAGTGCTGGGATTAAAGGCTTGCACTACCATGCCTGGCATCCTAGGCCTTTTTTTTTTTTTTACTTTTTGGTGCTGAGAGTGGAACTCAGGCCTTTGAACATGCTAAATATACACTGTGCTACTGTGCTAAACCCTTAGCACCTACTGATACTGCCTCTGACTTTAGAGGTTGAAGAAGAAAAACTTGAAACTCTGCATGTTACCCAAGAACAAAGTCAACTCAGTACATCCTATTCTACACCTTTGTGCTGTATACCTGGGCTAGTTCCTGCCAACTGACCTGTGACTCTAAACACATGGCCTCTCCCCTCTCTTTCAAAGTCCATGGGCCTTAACTTTTTTTTTTAATTTTAAATAACTACATGATTAGAAAAAGCATTAAATTACAGCTTTAACATATTCAGTAACACACTCCAGAGAAACAGTACATCTCTTTCATAAGTGGCTGTAAGTTTCTAGGTTCACAGTTGAATTAATAGTTACATAATATTGAACTCAGTATAAGCCCTGTAAGACATAAAATTGAATAAGTTTTTAACCTTTAAAAAAGATCTCCATTTCATTTTAGAATATATTGTTCCTTGCAGAAAGAGTCATTGTTTTTGCTACTAACATGGAGATGTTGGCTCATGCATCTCTAATCTGTATGCATCTGATTATTACTAGTCCTAATCGGTTGCACTTTGATCCTTGGCGCCTGTGTATGTAAAGTCATTGGGTAGATTTCAATGGTGATGTTTATCACATCTACTAATTAACGTGACATAAATCTCCATGCTTCCTCCTCAAAAATAATACGTTTTTAAAAATTTGTTGATATTTTTTGTGTGTATATCACACAGAACATCCCAAACTATCTTCAACTATACACCCACTTCCCAGATAGCACCCACCCATAGCCTCCCTCCCCCCACTAGAGCCCTTATACTCTGATATCCCTGCTACTATCTGCTGTGTTGTCGGCACCCCCAGCCATTCCC